GTCCGAAACAGTAAATTCGGGAGTGTTGTTCTCTTTGGGTATAAATCCAAAAATTATCAAATTAGTGTCATTAGAACCGGTTACAAGTCTAGTTTCGTACGTTTTTGGCCTTGCATTGATTGCTCGTGTATATTAAGAGAACCATCAATTTCTTTAAAGTGCTGCAGAAAACAACCTGTTTGGATATAATAAATTGTAGAAAATTATTTTGATAAGCAAATCAAGTGAAACCAATTGGGTTTGAAACTTAGGATATATTAGATCATATCTAGAGGTTATTGGAATTTTGTGAATAGCGTGGAGTGGGTTTTGTAATTTTCAAAGTTAGCGAATAGATTGGGAAAACTAGTTTAAAACACTGTTTTATCTTAAAGTTATTTTTAGTTAAGTTTCGATCGGAACCTATGTCTTGGGTGATTTTAGACCTTGAAGAACATGAAATTAGATAATATTTAAGAGTAACGGTGAGTTGGGTTGAGCCCTGTTAGTGCGCTTTAGTTTGGGGTTACTTAGTTCGTATTCTTTAGTATTTTTTAAATTAGCAGTGACGTGTAGTTTTCATATTAGTTCAGGGCACTAGTTGGACTTTCATACTCTATTCAAGGATTATATTATTTCGTTTCCAAGTGAGTAGTTTCATGCTACATATTTTTATAAATGTTCCCCTACCCTGAACTGCTGGAAAAATTAAATTGTTGTTTCAAGACTAAACTGTTTTGATAAATTATTATATTATCAATTGAATCAAATTATTTCTGAAACAAGTGTGAACTTGGCATACTGTAAACTATTTGTTTGGTCTCATGTTTAATAATGATGAACTATCAATGTTTTTGGGCGAAACTTGAATAGTGTATTGTTATTGGGACCTGTGTGTATTACCCAGGGAAATTATTCACTGTGTGTGGTGACTCTGGCCACTAGGGGAAAGATCCGGGGTTTGAGGGCCGTGATGACTCTAGTGCTCAATACGGATGTAAGGAAAGACCTTTAAAAACAACTAGGTGAACCCTTTCAATCCGATCGGTCTTTGATGAAAGAGGCCCAGGTGCCACCCTGGGATGACTCTTAGTTCGGGTGTTGGATCTAACGGGCTTATAGCCTTGAGAACTGTGGTGGCGCAGATTATTTGTTTTTATTGGTACCCAGAAAGTTATTGGTGTTCAGTTATAAATCTGTTTAAGTGGAAAATGTCATTTTCATGTTCCTTTGCGAGACATTGAGTATTAGTGTGAATTGGTGAAACCTTCTTTTGGAAAACAGATTGTATTTACACAAAAACTGTATGCCAATCTAGTTTCTGTGATAATATATCTTACTTTGGATATTTATCCTTTTTATTCAAAAAACTGTATTTAGGGTTGGTTTTGGCGATAACCTAATATTAATCCATCCTTTTTGATCTTTTTATCTTTTTCCATTCACATCACCTATCACTTTTCTGCCACATACTTTTTCGTAAAAAAGACAAAAAGTAACTTTTTTAGACAACCCCAAACCAAAGCCTTACTATCCATGTTGCTACTCACTGAGCTATCAGCTGACTTAGTTGTTTACCATTTCTAGGTGTTAGCAGGATTTAGAGTGGACTCATGGCGTAGCGGAGACTCAATTGCATGGACCTCTAGGGCATTTATTTAATTTTCTTTTAGGTTGCTTTGTCGAGTTTTGTGCATACATTGTGGTTGGGTTTTATTTAGAATTATTTTATTTTGTGGGCGGTTTGTGTCCCATTTACTATATATATTTTTTTAGGAAGTTGGTTATGACTTGTTTTTCACTTGTGGCATGTCACTGGTTTGAGTTTTGGTTATTTATTATTGGACTATGGTTTAATTGTTCAAGGTGATATTGAATGCGTGTTTAGGCTTACGTGTGCCTTGGGCTAAGGCCCTGTGGGCCACGGCCGGTCATACCCAGGTTTGGGGTGTGACATATTTCCTCTCGATGTTTCTCCCGATGAGTTTGTTTCTGATCTTGAGATCTCTACTTTGCATCTTACTAGCACTTCTATTCCCTCGCCAAGCACTTCCTCTCCGCTCCCGCTTCCCCTGCTCCTCTTCTTGTTTATTAGCGCCGCAACGCACTTCCGAGCACTCCTGTCCCTCCAACTGTTTCTTTGGATCCCGCTCCTCTTGCACATCGCTTTCCAAAGCGAGACTGTCATCCTCTGAACTGGTATGGTTTTGGTAATACATGTTTTTCCCTTTCTTATCAGTCTTTTCTTTCTTGTCTTCATACTTATTTTGAGCCCAGGTCTTACAAGGAAGCTTGTCATGATCCTAATTGGATTGCGGCCATGAATGACGAGTTAACTGCTTTGGCTAACACTTGGGATTTGGTTCCATTACCTGCTGACAAGAATACTGTAGGATGTAAATGGGTCTATAAGGTCAAAACCCTTTCTGATAGTTCTTTGGAACGGTACAAAGCTCGTTTGGTTGCCTAGGGCTTTTCTCAGAAGTATGGGATTGATTACGATGAGACTTTTGCCCCTGTTGCGAAGATGGCTACTGTTCGTACTCTTATCTCTGTTGCTGTTGCCCATCACTGGCCTTTGTTTCAACTCGATGTCAAAAATGCTTTTCTGAATGGGCATCTTACTCAAGAAGTGTATATGCGCCCTCCACCGGGTTTCTCTCATCCTCCTGGTGTTGTTTGTCATCTTCACCGTGCTCTATATGGTCTCAAGCAGTCTCCTCGAGCTTGGTATGAGCGCTTTCACTCTGTTGCTCTTCAGCTTGGTTTTCGCCCTAGTCATCATGATTATGCTCTCTTTGTTCGGCGCACTGCTGTTGGCCTTGTTCTCCTTCTCTTATATGTGGATGATATGATCATTACTGGTTCTAATTATAGTACTATTGAGGAGGTTAAGCATTAGTAGTTTCAGGAGTTCGAGATGAAGGATTTGGGCCCTATTTGGCATTTTCGTGATATTGAGATTGCTACTTCTCCTGCTGGGTATCTTCTCTCTCAGACTAAATATGCTCGGGACATTCTTTCTTGTGCCAATCTCACTGATGACAAAATTGTTGACACTCCTCTTGAGTTGTATGCTAAGTTTTTGGCTTCTGATGGCGTTCCTCTTGAGGATCCCACTGTGTATCGCGAGTTGGTTGGGTGCCCTGTTTATCTCACCGTTACTCGTCCGGATATCTCCTATGTTGTGCACATTCTCAGTCAGTTTGTTTCTGCTCCTCGTTCCACACATTGGGCTGCCTTACTCCGTACTTTGCGTTACCTTCGTGGTACTTTGTTACAATGTTTGCTGCTATCTGCCTCTTCGGACTTGACTCTTCGTGCCTATACTGACGCTGATTGGGCAGGTGACATCTCTGATCGTAAATCCACTTCTGGTCTTTGTGTTTTCCTCGGCAATTCTCTCATATCTGGAAGAGTAAGAAACAGTATGTTGTTGCTCGTTCCACTGCTGAGGTTGAGTATCGTGCCATGGCTCATGCTACCTCTGAGATTGTTTGGCTTCGGTGGCTTCTTTCTGGTATGGGTCTCTCTTTCTGATCCGACTCCATTATATTGTGATAATCAGAGTGCTGTCCAGATTGCCCATAATTCAGTCTTTTATGCGCGGACCAAGCATGTTGAAATTGATTGTCACTTTGTCAAACAGCATCTTCAGGCTGGCACTATTACTCTCCCTTTTGTTCCCTCTTCTTTTCAGTTGGCCGATTTTTTTACAAAGACTCACACTATTGCTCATTTTCGTTTTCTTCTAGGCAAACTTTCAATGCTTTCTCCGCTCGCATCCTCAGTTTGAGGAGGGGTGTGAATTTGTAATTTATATTGTTCATTAAGGATAGTTTGGTCCTTTAGGTTGTTTGGGTTTGTATTCTATTAGCTTATATAATTGTACTCAGTTGATTGATGAATGAATACAAGATTTCTATTCATTCTTTATTATCAGTGTCCAACACAACATGCGTCCTCAGAGTAAATCAAGGTCACTTACCCTAATATAAATAAGAACAAGAAAACGAAAAAGAGAACATTCTACAAGATGAAATGTCTTGTATTACCGTTATTAGTACAAGATAAAATCTTTTTCTCTGTACTGCCAACGTGGCACCAGAATTTTACAAGATAAAATCTCCTCTATTACCCTTATTAGTACATCAAAACATGGTTGACAGGTGAACTGTGTGACTGTATATGACCCACATAAGGTGAAAAAGATGACCTTTGTTAAAGTAATTTGATGATGGGGAATGGCTGATAAGGGGAGAGAGAAATAAAGAAACATTAACTGCATTCATCGTCCCTTTCAGAAGTTAAAGGGTGTGTTTGGTTTGTGTTTGTAGAGTAGTTTTTGAGATAAAAAGTACGAAAACTTGTTTAGTTTGCCTTTTTTCAGAAATAGTTTTGGAAAATTGTTTTGGGGAGAGAGTTTTAAAAAAAGTGATTGATTTGATGTGTATAAGAGAGAGTGGTTTTGGAAAGTAGGTAACCAAACAAAATTTTGAGATTTTTTTTGAAAAAATTTGATTGGTTTGATTACTCTTGAAAATTTATTTGTAGAGAATTTTTCCCAAAATTTTTTCTGAAATACAAATCAAACAAGGCCAAAATTTTCTCAATTGACTAAGATGATTACTCTTCTATATATTTCATGCACAGTGAAACACTTTTATGACACTCTGTGGCGGTCATTTACATAATTAAGGACACCCATTTCACCGACAACCAATCTCTAGAAGACAAGGGGTAAACCTTAATCAACTATTACATCAAATACATGAGTGAAAGATATTAATGGACTGCAAATAGATCTGATACTTTAAAAAAAATTCTGTTGAGTTCCCACTTTTACAGAATGTAGAAATGTGTAAGCGGAGTTTGTGCTTTCCATGTCTAAAAGAAATGGAAAAGATATATCGGTCCATGCAGCAACCTCAATATTTATGAGCAGAAAACAACTACTGTAAAAGTTATACATATTAGAAAGAAATCCAGAACAGATTTAAAAGAAAAAAATGCTATCATACCTCAAATTTCACAGATCCAAGATCAAGCTTTTGCTTCACTTCTTTAAGAATATCAGGCTCTGAAATTTAATCACATGCCAAATCAGATGTAAAAGTAAAATTGTGAATTAACAAACACTATTTTTCTGCAAATCTTGAAATAAATTATTTATTTTGTTTAAAAGAAGAGAAACATCAGAAAGAGAAAGAAGAAAGTAGGAGATATCAATGCAAATAATTACAGAAAAACCAGACCCACATAACGTATTACATTTAATTGTCTATGTTTGACAAAGATTTGTGTGCCCATATATTCTTAGATAACATATATGTTTAGTCACCAATTGTCCCAAAAGCTTAGGCTATTCGGAAATGGGCCCAACAACACCATAATGCACCTACAATTACCCTTGTCGTACAGTTTGGTTATAAATGCCAATATAATTCTACAATGACCATATTTGTATACCTTGCAGTGCTTATCATCTCATGTGTCACCACTACATTGCATTGGTAACAAACATGAGTGGTGGCCCCTTTAAACCAATGCAATGATGACACATATGGTAAGCACTTATAATATACAAATACAGTCATTGTAGCATTATTGTATAAATATTGACATCTTAATCTTAACTCATTCTACAATTTACAACAATAAATAAATTTGTACCATCCCATTTACAATAAGATGTTAAAAATGATGTATTATTGATTGATGTATGTTCTAAATTACAAATGGTGAGGGGCTCCTTATATAGGAGATGTAGTGGAGTAGGTGGTAGTAGGTGGTAGTGGTAGGTGTGTAGTAGGTGGTAGTAGGTGGTGGTAGGTGTAGTAGGTGGAGCAGGTGATGGTAGGTTTTAACAGCCCCCCGCAAACTCAAGGGGGATAGGAACTAACCAACTTGAGTTTGGAGAGAGTAACAAAACAAGAAAATAATCTGAAAAATAAAAAATGGATAGGAGACACTGTATGGTCGTGTCAGACCGTTGTAGAAGACTGTATGGTTATGGCAGAGAATTTAAGTACAATCCAAACTAAGCTTCAGAGTTGGAAAGCAACATTGCTATTAAGGGCAGGCGTTGAGGCTCTCATTTGGGCAAACCACTTGTATCAAGGTGGAGGTGGAGAACTACTTGTACACCCCAGCTCGTTGTCAGTGCTTATCAATTCTCTAACATGCATAAGGTAATATAAATATTGACCAATGTATCTCCTTTTCTTTCTTTTTTTTCCTTGTTTTTTTAAAGCACAAAATATTTAGATTAAAAAAAAGTGAATGAAATTTGTGTTTGGGTAAATGGAACCAGGTTTGCACACTAAAAATGATTGCACACTACAATGGCCAATTCAATAATATTGTTTCTATGTCTAAAATTAGGCTCTAACTGAATAGATATGCCAAAAGCCCACTGCCCAAGTTGCCTTGGGCCTGACTATTAAGTGCCCCATCATGTGGGGGAGGGGGGCTCCAAAAGAATTCATATAATAGCCATATTAGCAATTGCCAACATAGCACTAGCTAGAAGAAACATCGCCATTGCTTAAGGAGTTACTAGCAATCTATTTTTAATATAACAAAATCAAATAAATAGCAAAGAATATTAGTAAAACATAAAATCACAAAAGAAATTGCTATTCTTGTGTAATAGTGTTAAGTAAAAATACAACAGAGTTTCTACAAACAATATGAAAACAGCAAAAAATACAAGAACAATAAGAGTAAAAAGGGAATAAAGCCATAAAGATGAGATTTGATTCATAATTTACCAACTGCAATTGGCTCTGTTGATGCAGAAACAGGTTGGCCCTCAACTCCATCCTCTCTTACAGGAGTATACAGTGCCACCAGTCTGTACCCCACATCATCAACATTAGATTCGTACATCCTCCCAGTCTCCCCTGCAATATCACACCATGTTTAGCGAGCAAACATCTCAACTGAAATATTGAAGCTGGATCTTTTGATGAATAATTCTAGAAGCTTTACAAGTGTCGATGCCTTCATCTAGAGTCATAAACTTACCCCACCTTTTTTTATTGACAACCCTAAGACGTGAAGATATTTGTCTCTTTTTAAATAAAGAAAGAGGTATCGTTGTGACCAAAAAGAAAAGAAAAATTAAGAGTTCAGTGAAATTCATGAACAGCTTTAATCATTTCTAAGACTAGAGAAGTGATATAAGCTCAAGGTCTTATAAACAACGGAAAAATGTAGGGAAGAAGGAAAGTAGAGTTATCATAATTATGCATGCACACAACATTTCGGTCTGTATTCAGCTACAAAATTTATTTTGTACACTGGGAGGTTCTAATTTTCTCTTAATGGGAGTAATGGGTGTTGGTTTACAAAAAATTCTTTCATTGGGGTGTTTCCTACTTCAAAAAACTTGTCCATAAGAAACTAAGGGTTTGTTTGGTTTATATCTCAACATACAATTTTTGAGAAAAATTTTCAAAATTTTGTTTGGTTCAAATTTTTTGAATTTTTTTTTTCAAAATCACTTTCTCTCTCCTACACATCAATCAATCACTTTTTCTATCTCTTCTCTCCTCTCCCCTTCTCAATCACTTTTTCTTTCACACGCATCCACTCAATTACAACAAAATATCAAATCATTCCAAAACTATTTTCAAAAATGTACAACCAAACAAATAAAAAAAATTTCTAAACTCTCTCCCCAAAATTTTTTTTTTGAAAATTTATCTCAAAATACAAACCAAACACTAAATGGTTAGGAAAAATCCAGGCTCAAAATTTTCATATCAAAAATAAAATTTCCATAATTTTCAGAGGTCTCAATTTCTTTAAAGTTTCTTATTTTACAATTAATTACAAAGACTGTTTATCCTTGAATGAGGGTCACAGGGGGTGGGTAGTGCAGGGATGGTGCATTGCAAGAATGGGGTGGATTTCAGAGATGGTGTGGATTGCAGGGGTGGGGGATCGCAGAGGTGACGAATGAAGGTATATGCCAAAGCCAGCAGATGAAATCGAAATATAGAGCCTCACCGGTTGCAGAGCAGTGGCAAGAGGGACTAGGGAGGAGCAACACAGACACAGCGGCTGGAGGGGCAGAAAAGGGGGTAGCAGTGGAGGGGAGGGGGTAGCAGTTGGGGTTGCAATGGCTATGGTTGCAAGGGCAAGGGTGGTGAAGCAATGACGTTAAGAGGCTGCGATGGTGGCTGGCGAGAGTAGTGTCGTGAAAGGTGTGCCTAGGCGCAAGGGCAGTGCCTTAACACACCCAAGGCGAGGCGCATTCAACAAGTCGTGCGCCTGGGCCGTGACTTGGGTAGGCAACGAAAGGCGCAAGGTGCACAACTTAGGAGGCTTTTTTTCTTTTTAGATATTGTTTTTTGATTGAAATTTGACCGTTTGATTTATATTCATATAAGTCGCAGCTATTAGGATTAAACAACACATCCCGTAAATATCAATTGCGGTGCGTTGTGGAGGCCCGCCGCCTCCCCAGGCTGTTCCCCTTCGCCTTTTTTTTTTTTTTTTTTTTTTTTTTTTTTTTTTTTTTTCTTCGATGTGTCTTCTTCTTCTTCCCCTTCCCCTTCGCCGATGTCTTTGTTTTTTGTTATTTATTTTATTTTTTTTCTAATCTCTAGTTTTTTTTTGCATTTTCGATGCTGTCTTCTTTTTTTTTCTTCTTTCTTCTTTTTCTTCTTCGTTGCTGCGTCTGTTTTTTTTTTTAATTTTTTATTTTTTAAATTTTTGCTTCTCTTTGATGGTGTCTTCTTCTTTCTTCTTGTTGAATGTGTATTATTTTACCTTTGAAAATTGAAATGCTATTTAATATATACTTTTATGGCTTTGAGAATTATTCTGTAATTTGCCTTAGTTATTTTTTTTAAAAACAATATTTATCTTAGTACTTACATGCCATTAATCATTAGTCTATATTAATTTATATATTTTTACTGAGACTATGCGCCTTGCTTCAATAAAGCCCATGCCTTGCCTAAGCCCCAAGAGAACTGTGAGAACCCGAATATACAAATCAAGTAAATAATTAAATAATAATATTACAATCTCAAATATTTTGGTGGTGAATTCTAAGGTGCAAATTAAATATTATTGGAGGATCCTTTAATTAATTTTTAAACCTAAAATAAATTTATGGTGAAAGTCATTGATTTAGAAGCAAGATTTATTATTAAAAAAAAAATTAGAGAAGAGGGTGTGACTTGAACTCTAGACCATAAAATTAATAAGTTAGGCTCTTACCATTTGAGCTGCATGTAACTTATATATGTATTTTGTATATTTATCTATCTATTTGACCTAAGTGTGCCCACCACTAGTATAAAATAAAATAAACACAAACCCTACTCGATTATTTGTTCACCACATAGGGCAACAACACAGCAGCCACGGGAGAGGGTTTGAGAGAAGGAAAAAAAGAAGATGTTGCAATCAAAAAACTTTTGGGTGTGTTGTGTTATGTTGTGTGTGATCATCAAAGGTTAGCCCTCCTAGGTTTTCTTCTCTTCTTTCTTTGTTCTTCATCCTTATTCTATAATTATTTTATTCATTCATGGAGAGGTTGTAGGTTTATGTATTTTGTATATATATGTATACACTGTTAAGAAATCTGAGGAGTTAAATTGATATATAAAGAATGAGTGTAATTCTTAGTTTAAAAATTTTGCACAGAATCGCAAACTTTAAAAATCAAGAAACCATATCAAACGGATGAATTTTGAACTGAAATTTTTACAGTAGATCAATTACATATTGAATTGCATATCTGAATTTTTTCATAATTTTTGAGAGTCAAAATCCATATAAATTGAGGTATTCAAATCTGTCCAGGACACCAGTCCGAAACAATAAATTCGGGAGTGTTGTTCTCTTTGGATATAAATCCAAAAATTATCAAATTAGTGTCATTAGAACCGGTTACGAGTCTAGTTTCGTACGTTTTTGGCCTTGCATTGATTGCTCGTGTACATTAAGAGAACCGTCAATTTCTTTAAAGTGCTGCAGAAAACAACCTGTTTGGATATAATAAATTATAGATAATTATTTTGATAAGCAAATCAAGTGAAACCAATTGGGTTTGAAACATAGGACATATTTGATCATATCTGGGGGTTTTTGGAATTTTTTGAATAGCGTGGAGTGGGTTTTGTAATTTTCAAAGTTAGCGAATAGATTGGAAAAACTTGTTTAAAACTCTATTTCATCTTAAAGTTATTTTTAGTTAAGTTTCGATCGGAACCCATGTCTTGGGTGATTTTAGCCCTTTAAGAACATGAACTTAGGTAATATTTAAGAGTAACGGTGAGTTGGGTTGAGCCGTATTAGTGCGCTTTAGTTGAGGTTACTTAGTTCTTATTCTCAAGTACTTTTAAATTAGTAGTGACGTGTAGTTTTCATACTTGGTTCAGGGCACTAGTTGGACTTTTACACTCTATTCGAGGATTATATTATTTTGTTTTCAGGTGAGTAGTTTCATGCTACATATTTTTATAAATGTTCCCCTACCCTGAACAGTTGAAAAATTAAATTGTTGTTTCATGATTAAACTGTTCTGATAAATTATTATATTATTAATTGAATCAAATTATTTCTGAAACATGTGTTAACTTGGCATACTGTAAACTACTTGTTTTGATCTCATGTTTATAATGATGAACCACCATGTTTTGCGAAACTGGTGTGCATTGATTATTGGGACCATGTGTGTATTTAGTCCAAGGAAATTATTCCACTGTGTGTGGTGACTCTGGCCACTAGGGAACAGATCCAGGTTGGGCCGTGATGACTTTAGTACTCAACGATTGTAAGGAAAAGACCTTTAAAAACAACTAGGTGACCTTCAATCGGATCGTCTTTGAGAAAAGGCCCAGGTGCCACCCTGAGGATGACTCTTAGTTCGGTATCGGATCCAACGAGGCTTATAGCCTTGAGAACTGTGTGGCAGATTATTTGTTTTTATTGGTACCCAGAAAATTATTGGTGTTCATGTTATAATCTGTTTTAAGTGAAAAATGTCGTTTATCATGTTCTTGCGAGACATGAGTATTTTAAGTGTTGAATTGTGGAACCTTCTTTTTCAAACAGATTGTATTTACCAAACTGTATGCCAATCTAGTTTCTGCGATATATATCTTATTTTGGAATTGAACCCTGTTTTCAAAACTGTATTTACTATCCATGTTGCTACTAAACGAGCTATCAGCTGACTTAGTTTTTATCACTTCCAGGTGTTAGATGGACTTAGAGTGGACTCATGGCGTAGCGAGGACTCAATTGCATGGACCTCTAGGGCATTTATTTAATTTGTTTTAGGTTGCTTTGTCGAGTTTTGTGCATATATTGTGGTTGAGTTTTATTTAGAATTATTTTATTTTGTGGGCGGTTTGTGTCCCATTTAGCATATATATGTTTTTAGAAAGTTGGTTATGACTTGTTTTTCACTTGTGGTATGTCACTAGATTGAGTATTGATTTATTTATTTCTAGGCTATCATCACATTTATTCTTTATGGTTTTGGATTCATGTTTAGGCTTACGTGTGCCTTGGGCTAAGTCCCTGCAGGCCACGGCCGGTCATGCCCGGATTTGGGGTGTTACAAGAACTTTTGTGACACCTAAAGAATGCCACATGCTATAACTATATTATTAGCCATCCGTGAATACCCTAAGTCATATTTACTATCCCATTACACAAAATGCTTAAGGCGAAGCCTAGAAATGAGAAGTTAGGAAGCTTTGAACTTGTGAATGACATTATCAACATCTAAGACTTCGGAGCTAGTCACCTCTTCAACATAGTAAGTGTGTATTACATCAAAAGCATCTTTACATGACATGATCAAATACTTACCTTAATTTAACTACCCTACAACACACTAGAGATAGCAACATAGATTGCTAAGTTGAAACCTTAGAAGATGAATACAATTGAGAAGAAATTTAGTAGTTAGAAACATGCCTTGATAAAATAAATCCAAGAATAGAAATACTTATTACTAAGAGTTAAGGGGTACCTTAAGTTTAAGATTTGTGAATACTAGGATGTGCCCATATACTAATTGAGGAGCTTAAGGATCTTAGACCAACATGCTTATCATTTTGGTGTTATGCGAAATTTTACTAATCAGAATTAGTGATAATTAAACAAGATTAGTGAGCCTTAATCATGATTAATTAAGCTAAGTAAGATTAAGTTAAACCTTAATTAATTAGAGGCTAACCTCGACTAAATTATAACTAAGATTGATTAACTAAGCTAAGTAAGTGAGATTAGGTAAATTGGTGAGGCATACAAGTGATGCATACTCCTCCCTTTTTGTCCCAACTCAACTATTGTCTTATCTAACCTTATAAAAACAAAACAAGAAGAGCAAAAATTGGTAGAATCAAGAAAGGGAGAGAAGAGAGGAGAAGAAAGGAGAAAGAAGAAGAGAAAAGGGGAGAGCCTCAAGAAATTCATCAAAATCCATCCTTTGATTATTCTAAGGTAAGATTTAGACCCTAATCCTTGTAGAGATCCTTCCTACCATCAATAATTGAGAAGAAACGAGGATCAATTCGAGTTAGTATCGAAGTTATGAAGAGAAATAAGGAAAAAAGTAGAACAGGTTCAAGAATAAGTTAAGTAGATGGAATTCATGCTATTTCAATTGAGTTCTTGATGTTCTTAATTCTTAGGAAGTTATAATCTCAATGTTTTCTCATAGTTTTCAATGATTTTGTAAGTTCAAATTCATGTTTTGAAAGAGTAAAAAGAAAGGGTTTGAATAAAGAATGAGGTTGGAGAAATTCTTTATAAAAGCTTGGTTTTGATCCTTGAGTTTTGAAAATAAAACATGTATTGATGTTATCGTTTTGAAAAGAATTCTATTTCCCTGTTTTCCAACAATTTTAGTGTGTTTCACATCAAGTTTTTGAGGTCCCAAGCCATGAAATTGAGAAGAGAAAAGCTAGAGCAAAATTGCGTTTTTGGACTGCACTGAAACAGCCATCCCCGCACGTGCAGCCATGGCTCCCGCATGTGCAGCCCAATTTTCTGAGCACCAAAAACCATTCTGAAATAACAGCACATGTGGCCCCTGAGCCCCGCACGTGCAGCACCACTAATTCAAGCCTATTTCAAGTTTTGTTTGCATAGGACCCTTCCATGCTTGCATTTCATACTTGGTATACACATGTTTAAGACTTGAATTAAACCTAGAATAGTACTTGATATTTGAAAGAAGTTTAGAAAAAACGTTTAGCCAAGTTAGGCATTCAGTTTGTTATGTTTGTATATGTAAGCTAGGTACTTGAATGCCTTGATTAACACTTGAATTTAAAAGTTCAAACTCTAAACAACTTGAATATGGATTAGGAAGCATTAAGCCACTTAGAACACTCTAATTAATTTAGAGGCTTACAAGCTAAGTTATGATAGAGCCTTGAACAATTTGAAAAGAAGTTAGGAAACATTAAACAAGATTAGAGCACTTGAGTTAATGTTAAAACTTGAAAGTTACAATGTTTTCAATACCTTGTTCATGCTTTGTGTAGGTCAAGCACGTTGGAAGCGAAAGCCTTGTTCAAGAGCCATTTGTGAGTAGTAATGTAGTAAAGTTATGTTTGTTAAGCTATGATTTGAAAAGCAAAACCTATGCTACGTTTATAAAAAGTATGTTAACATATTATTATGAATGAACATCATATACTCTTGTCTCATGTATTAAGATGACATTCTTGGATCATGTCCCAAAATTGGAGGATTATACCAATCATGTCTTGATGGCCGAGCTCACTTTGCCACCTTCGGGTGGGACGTTTAGCCGGTATTCGGGCCAGTTAAACACCTTGCAATCCTTAATATGTTCATTATTATGTAAATGTTTGCAAGCCAAGTTATGTTCAAACTATGATTTGATGTTATGTTCAAACTATGTTTAAACTATGATTTAATGCTATGTTCAAGTTAAAGCTATGTTCAAACTATGATTTGATGCTATGTTTAAAAGCTTGTCGGTGTTCATTCATTTACCACTATACTATATTACTATTCATTGGGCAATGGCTCACCCCTCTCCCTTATGCATATATGCAGGTGACGAAGAGCACGGTTATGAAGAGAAGTTTGCCTAGAAGTCAGTCTTACAAATTTTGTGTTGGTTTTGTCAAAATGTGTCATAAGTTATGTATTTTACTTTTATTGTATCAACAATGTAATATTACAAGAAAACAATCCAAGAGGAATATATGTTTTCATTTCATATAGTTATGCACTGCTCTGAATGGATGCTTCAAATGGACTCAATATAAGAAAATAATGGCTTCCGCAATTGTTAAATGAAAGATTTGCCCCAATTATCACAAGAGTCCAACATGTCTTGTAAGTTAGGCCTTTGGTAGTCCAAGACTACTGGCCGGTTGCAACACCATCCTGTTTGAGGCAGGTTGGGGTCGTGACACCTTTGGTGCCTTGTTGTGCCTTGAGCCTTTAAAAACAATGGGCAAGAGGGTAGTGGTGGTGGCAGGGGGACAATAGGCAAAAGGTGGTGGAGGCCGATGGTGATGGTGGGGCGGCCAATGGTGTGTGTCAAGAAATTAGGATTTAGGTTTTGACCAAAAAGGTAATTTGCTTAAGGGATAAAAATGTAAATAAAAAAATTTGAGAAATGGTGTGTATTGAGATATTGACCGGTGTGCGAATAGAATTTTCCAATCCATAAGCTGAAAAGCACCCCTTTCAGTGCTTCCAATAAACAACTTATTTTGGGCCAAAATAAGTTGAGTCAAGCCATAAGTTGTTCCGGTTAAGCTACACCAAACACTCATTTTAAACTTAAATATATGCTAAAAGTTGAAAAAAAACAACTTATAAACTTCACTAAACACCACCATTATCAAGGCTTCATTTGGCAACATGGGTTTGTGGTCAAAAAAATAAATAAGTCAATATAAGTTGTCACATTACTCTATCTATTTTTTGCATGTCTTTTCGTAAAAAACTAAAATAGCCAATTCCCAAACGGGGCCTAAGTATTTCCAACAATCAACAGAGCTAAGAGCTTCTTTCATAGAAGTAATGCATAATTGAAATCCAAAATGAACATTTTTTACAATTAAGACATCCAACAGATCAATGTAATAGTTGAATTAGTGACTGACACATCCTCCCAATTCCCAATGAGAGAGATGGAACATCCCGATCTTATGACTATGATGCAATACACATTCTGCATTTCTACTATACATTAAAGAAATTTAATGAAAGAAAAATATCATCTTATAAAAGACAGATTCAGCTGTAAAAAATCAACCCAATGATTAGAGCATACCAGGAATAGAGATAAGGTCGGGGCTTCCAACCATTGATCTAAGCCACTGGATTCTACTTTTGCCCTCTTTTCCTCCACTATAAACGCCACGAACCGCATATAAGTTAGTGTGGAAACCTCTACCCTCGATCTCCAACTTATCTATTCGAGGAATGCCTGAACAAAAACAGAAAGGATAAAACAATCAACTGTATTGTGTCCACCATTTTAACTCCTTAAATTTGAACTCTTATCTTCTACCCATCCAAAAAGCACTAGATTGTCAAGGAAATCATCAATTATCTCAAAATCTTAACCAGTTAGAAAATGGACCCAACAACATATATCAAGCTATCTAGCAATATTGTATTCCAGAATAAATAAATAAATAAAACACAACAACAACAAAGAAACTTGTATTATATACCAAAAAATAGCATTCTGGTGGTGATTTATTTTCGTCATTCTCACTTTCAGTTTTCACTTCTTTTAAAAGTAATTTTGTAAGGGACATGTGTTTTCAAGAATAATAATTACCTCAACATTGATCTTTTCTAAGAAATTCTTCCAAATAAAGAGGTGTCAAAAATGCACTGTTACAAGTGTTGTACATAATTGTTTTTAAAACCATTATCAAACAAGTATTACTAGAAAAATGGTAAAACTGCAAAACGAGGTTGATTAGCAAAAGACAAGCTTTGATTGGCCAAAATTGAACTAACATAAGTTCTAAGGATGGGTTATAACAAGAAGTGAAATGTTTGCATGTTCACATCCTCCATAAGGTGAAAAGGAAAGAAATTCTATGCACTTCTACTCGTAAGCCTTAACTTGTGAAAAACCCAACACTTTTCGCAATGTTGGCTATATATACAAATATATCTCAATAGTTAAAATTCAAACAAACAAGTAAAGTACTCTTGGTCAACCAACAGTAAATGGAAGTAATACCTGGCAAAATGGGGGCAGTTTCAGCATACGCTGACTGACTCGACCTTCCAAACACATCAGTCACAATGCATTCACAACGTAGACACCGACCAATGTCCTCTAATCGCACCTTATAGGAGCAAGAACGCTGAGAAGATAATGGCTCAAGGGAAACATCATTTCCTGTTTCAGATGAACAAAACCTGCACATACCTCTTGTCATGTGTTGGAATAAGTGAAGTGAAATACTATGAGTAAAGGCCATGTTTAATTCGCGGATAAGGGGGCAGGATTGGATTATTTTGTCTCGGGGATAAAATAATTCCACATTTGGTTCAAACTTCCTGATCCAGGATGTCTAATATTGACGAGGGTCTTTATCCAGCATTTGCAAGATTATTTTGTCCCAGGGGGAGGAGTGAAACAACTAATCCTGGAATGACACTCACGTCACCAAATCTGAAAAATGCCCGCCTAATCCTGTCCGCGAATCAAATGTGGCTAAAGATATTTATCATTAATCTAGCAAAGTTATCTGGATTTGGGAGAACCCACCAAAACATCAAATTCCGCTAGGAATCCTATATTAGATAAAGGGTTATTTACATAGAGACCCCCTAAACTATTCAGAAGTATCACTTTGACACCCTAAACTATAAAAACATACAAATGGACTCCCTAAACTATTGGCATTTTCACTTTGACCCCTTCCGTTATTGCACCGTGAGTTAAACCAAGCTTTCAAACATTTTTTTAGATGAAAATGACTTTCAACACTATATATTTACAATTTCACTATTATTGCTTTTTAATTTTAATATAAGCATTCATCCATTGTTATTGTTTTATTATTATTTTTTTAAAATATTCTTTGTAAATATATTTTTGCAGAAAGAATATTTTTAAAAAATAATAATCAAAGAGAAAAATGAAAAAAATTGAGAAAACGTAATGTTGGATGTGTTATATAGAGTGTTGAAGGGTATTTTCGTCTAAAAAATGTCAATGCGGTAACAGAAGGAGTCAAAGTGAAACATACTAATAGTTTAGGGGATCTATTTAAATGTTTTTACAACTTAGGGGGTCAAAATGATACTTCTCAATAATTTAAGGGGTCCATTTGTACATTTTTATAGTTTAGGGGGTCAAAGTAATACTTCTCAATAGTTTAGAGGGTCTCCATGTAAATAACCCTTAGATAAATAAGAACAGCTGTTGCAGCATGTTGACAAATATGAAACTACATGTCTGACTATTAATGCCCGTTGATTAGATGTATGAAAATAGCAAAAACAACATTCTGCTTTGATGAATTTTCTTTTTATGATAAACACGTACTTTTCTTTTCTTTTTCAATGGGTTTTTATAATAACTGTCTACAAAAAGGATAACTTGAAAAGGATGCAAAAGAATGCCTTCAAGAAAACTATCCAGATACTTCTGAGAGATTCTTGCAAGTTGCAATTAAAACATTTAGGCATAGCAAACTGTTACTGCAAAGAATATGAAAAACAAGGTGTTATGAAGTATTGAGATATTGCACTATACCATTGATATCTGACATCGTTCTTGTACTTGCCCCAAACATGTTGCTGAATTTCACTCTTTGGAATTACTTCAACAGCAGTAAGTACATCTCCTTCAACCGCCTTTCCAGTCAGGGCAAGCATCTCAATTTTTAGAAGCTCTGAAATGAGATCCAAAATTCAGATGCAAAGTAAAATGATAGTCATCAAGCATTATGTTGGAAGGCTTAATACGAAATGTTTAGTCTCAAGCTATACATTACAAAGTCACTTTAGTGGAGTAACCATAAAAGAAATTGACCTAAAAACCAGCCTCCAAGAACAGAAATATAACAAGCATCTAAATATCTGGGCAACATCAAGCAAAAGGTTGAGTAAAGAAACAGAGCCTTTTGCAGTTTGTTAAAAAGTTGTAAAAAAAAATGTGGGAAATCAATGCCACTGTATCGACCAAAAATGGTTGAAACATGTAGGTTTATGGGCTCAGCCCAGGAATGTAGCACCTCCGGCTGTAGCCTCCAATTCACATTATGGCTTCCCCAACAAACCTTACATGCTATGTGTCTCCAGGAACTGTCCTCGGTCTCACTTGGCATACTTGGGCTCAGGTCTAGCTGCTCGGTCTTGGTTCGTTAGCAACCTCAATGTTTGAGTCAAGCTCCTCAGTCTCGAAAAGTATTTGACACTCTAACAAGGGTATGGCATATGTGTCGGATACTTTTCAACGGATACTTTTTATATAATTGTATATAATACTATTATTATATGTAAGTATTGTTGTGTAATTGTTATAAATGTCATTTTGACACTATAAGTTACATATAGCACTATTTTATCTCACATATTAGATTAAAATTTAAAAATATGACAGTTTTTTGCTTAATCCGTGTATCCTTAAATTTATGGTTTGATGAGTCCGTTCCTAAATACATACCTGCACCCGACACTCATACCCGAGTCCACGTAACATAGCTCACCATTGACCTGCACTGTTGCTTAGCTCACCAACAGCCCCATCAAGCCCGATCTTTATCGTTAAGTTTAGACGGCTACATAATTACTTGGTTTGAGAGTAGAGCCCCTGTACCTAGTTCGGAACCATTAGAGGGCTTGTGAATTGGGGGCTAGAACTCAAGCTAAGTCTAGGTGCTCTATGAGCTCCCCTTTGGCACGCTTCAAACAATCTGAGAAAAAGAGGGGATTTGTCCAAGCCTTTAACACATGAAATATTGTAATATACCTACCTCAGAGTTGCCCAGATGTATCTAGAAAGTTTTATCTTGCAAGGAACCCTTACTATGTTAGCTCTCACTAGTTTGCCACAAATCATTACATTTCTGGATATTTGCCTCTTGGTTATAATGTGTTAAGAACCACACTACTTCAAAAGGAGAGGGCAAATATTGATAGATTGTTGCAACTAATTAGGGGGACATGCAGAGAAAAAGGGGTGAGCTTTGTTAGTGATGGTTGGAGTGATTCTCAAAGTTGGCCTTTAACTAATTTTATGGTAGTGAATACAAGTGGGCCTATGTTCATTACAGCAGTTGATTGTTCGAGAGAAACGAAGAAAAATACTTCATTGCAAATTTGATAAAAGAGATGATTAATGAGGTTGGACCAATTAATGCGGTTCAAGTCGTCACTGAAAATGCTCCTAATTGTAAGGTGGTCGGACAACTCATTGAAGCTCAATTCCCTCACATTCTAGAATCCTTGTGTGGTGTACAGTTTAAATCTAGCTTTAAAAAACATTCGTGCCGCAAAAAATTATTGAGACGAAAGAAATCACATATAAACAGTGTGGTTGGATTAGTGATATTGCCGGTGATGCTATGATAATTAAAGTTTGTATCACCAATCACTCAATGGGATTGGCCTGATACAATGAATGTGTCTTTAAAGTTGGTTTTGGTTGCCAAAACACGATTTGCTTCCATAATTGTTATAATTAAGAGATTGAAGCTTATAAAACATGGTCTTCAAGCAATGGTGATTAGTGACAAGTGGAATTGCTATAGACATGATGATGTTGGGAAGGCAAAATTTGTGAAAGAAAAGATTTTGGATGATGTGTGGTGGGACTGCATTGATTATATTATTTCCTTCACAGGCCCTATATGTATCCTTAGGGCTTGTGACACAAACAAGCCTTGTCTTAATCTCAATATATGATATGTGGGACACAATCATAGACAAAGTGAAGATGGCATTACATAGGAATAAAGGGAAAAGAATGGAAGAGGATTCTATATTTTATAATGTGGTGCATCAAACTCTTGTGCACCGGTTGAATAAGAACAACACCCCTCTCCATTGTTTGGCACATTCATTGAATCCCAAGTGAGTACCACATTCTAAATTGTTTTCAGAAATTTTATTTTAATGGACTTGTCTAGTCTCTTGAAATGTTTATTTTTCCTATTTTGTACTATAGATACTATAGTTATGAGTGGCTCCATGAGGATCCAAATAGAGTTCCACCACAAAGGGATGAAGAGGTGACGTGTGCAAGGAACAAGTGCTTTAAGAGGTACTTTGATGATATGGAGCAAACCAAGGTGGTAACAGAGTATGAAAAATTTTCGGGGTATGTCGAGGCATTCTCCGAATATGATTCCATTCATAATATGTGGCACATGGATCCTTACACTTGATTTGCATATGGTGCATATGCACCACCTTCAATAACTACCTTTGAGACTATTTGTGCAACTTGCCTCCTCATCTTGTTGTGAGAGAAATTGGAGTACTTAGTCTTTTATTCACTCAGTGAGAAGGAACAAAATGCTCCTTTAACGAGCAGAGGACTTGGTGTTCATTCATAGTAATCTTCGTCTTCCATCAAGGAGGAGCTCCCAATATTTGCAAGGACAGACAAAAATGTGGGATACTGCAGGTGACAACTATGTTCCCACTGAAAAAGATTCGCGTTCCCAACTGGGATGGAATCTCTCGAACATATGAATCCCAAAGAAATGAAAGAACAAGAACCATGTCATGCTCCTAATCAAATTGGAATAACATTTTGAGATTACAAGACTTTGAATTCAAGGTTTCTTGGAACCGAAACTCAAATATTGTTGATGGCGCAACCATACATTGGTTGGAAGCCCATTAAAATAACCAAACTTTATTGAGAAATCATCAAGATGATGCAAATAATACAAAAGCGGCCTCAAAAGCCCGACCAAACTAACAAATCAAATCCTCCACAAAATCTACAAAAGCCAACACATGTAGATCTACTAAACCTGTCACCCAATTATACAAAACTATAAGAAGCCGCCTCTCTAACCAAGGAATGGAGTGAGCCACCCCTTGAAACACCTGCCTATTACGCTCCAACCAAATCAACCACATTAACTAGTGCGAAGCAAGAATCCAAGGCTTTCGATGCCTCCTCTCAGCCATCCCCCCTACCCAACTTTGCACAACTACGAACATAGAACCTGATTGAACCCAAACTAAACCAAAACTGCAACCACAAGCATCAAAAGACGAGAAGAGACCGGACAATGCATAAGCAAATGGTCAAACGACTCCGCTGCCCTACCGCACAGACAACACCAATTCACCAAAATATGCCTTTTTGCTGTCCAAACAAAAAAGGCAACCTTGGATGGCGAGCTTGACACCCAAACGCCTTTCCACGAATAAACCATAGCGACATCATGAGCATACACATCCTGAACAAGCACCCCATAGAATGAAGACACAGTAAAAATACCATTGGATCTAGGACAATCCCAAACCATGAAATCCTGACCTACCCTCCCAAGATGCAAACCATATAAAAAACCCAGAAGTTCTACCAACTGATCTTGCTCCCAATCCTGGACATTGCGATGCAATTACACATTCCACACCATCGATTGCCCCTCCCTAACCCATACAGCACCCACCAACACCTCACAATTAGCAACAATAGCGAAGATCAAACGGAATCGAAACTCTAAAGACAAGTCAGCACACCACCTATCCTGCCAAAAACGAACTCTATCCCTCACACCAACATTCAACCTCACCCTCCTCCAAAACACCTCCCGACCCAACTCAATCCCTTTTCACAAACCACAACCATGAGAATGACCCACCTTTCCCAAACACCACTCCTCCCTTCCACACCAAACTTAGCAACCGCCACCCTCCTCCAAAGTCGCTCCCTCTCCTCCACAAAATGCCATAACCACTTCCCCAACAAGGCCAAATTGAACAAGACTAACCTCTGAACCGCCAAGCCCCCTCTCTCCTTAGGCAGACAGATCTGATTCCATGACACCAAATGATAATAAGCACTCTCATCCTCCCCACCCCACAGAAAGTTTCACTACAGCTGCTCAATCCGCCTTGCTACTGCCATTGGGATCACGTGGATAGACATAAAGTAAGTAGGGATACTCAACAAAACACTTTTAATCAATGTAAGCCGCCCTAGCTTTGACAAATACTGCCGTTGCCATCCTGTCAGTCGACGTTGCACCCAATCCACCACCCCATCCCATACCCGTTTCACGTTAAAGGAAGCCCCCTAAGGCAAGCCCAATTATGTGACAAGCAAAGAAACCACTTTACTGTTAGAATGTGTTAGAATATTCCTTATTTTATTCTGATGTATATTTTGTGAGAACCCGAATATAAAAATTAAGTAAATAATTAAATAATAATATTACAATCTCAAATATTTTGGTGGTGAATTCCAAGGTGCAAATTAAATAGCCGTTTATAATTGTGACATGTCTGGATTGAGTTTTGGTTATTTATTATTGGACTATTGTTCAGTTGTTCAATGTGATTGGATTCATGTTTAGGCTTACGTGTGCCTTGGGCTAAGTCCCTGTGGGCCACGGCCGGTCATGCCCGGATTTGGGGTGTGACATATTTAGTATTCTTATTTTATGCCTTAGGGCACTCCTGTAATTATGGTGAAAATTTAACATAAAAAGAGATGAGATACCACTCACACCTCTAACTTTTCTCTTCTCAAAACTGACATGGTATCAAAGCCACTCTAAAACCCTAGCAACCACAACCCTACAGCCACCTTCACACCGCCATCGCACCGCCACCCTAATCGCAGTCCACACAACACCAGACGCCATCTCCCTAGGGTTCCGCCAGAACCATTCACAACCTCCTAGGGCCTCGACAATCCTAAGTC